AAAAAAAAAAAAAAAAGAGGTGATGAGATTCTGGCCGGATAGAGTGTATGCAATCATTCAAATCTGGCAAGAGTTTAGAACGTTAAATATAATATATATAATTTATTCTCAAATCTGGTTAGAGTTTCAAACGTAAAATACAATGTATTCTTAGATGTGGGCGAACTTTCTTCATGACTCATTGACTCCGAACATGGAGAATTTTATTTTGGATACAATCTGATACAATGTATTTTCTGATGACTTCACAATTCTATTTTTGAAGTTTTTTTATACAGTGTATGCTTGAGAATGCAGCTGTATTTGACTTTATTTATCAATGTTGTTGCTTTTTGATACAATGTAAGATTGAGTTATTTAATAATTGTATTTTGATTTTCACACATATGAATGTATTTTTCTAGCTTGTATCCAATCTCTCATAGGCTTTATGTATCCAAAATATAGCCATTGTGTGCGAACAAATACAGTTGATATAACTTTCTATCAAAATTGTACTCATTGATACAATCACTTTGTGCGAATGAATAAAATTGATATAACTTTTCCATTAAAATTGTATTCATTGATATAACATGACAACTGATTGATATATCAAAATTTGAATTTGGTTGTATGCATTTAATACAGATACATTAATGATAATTAATCAAACTATACTTACGTATCGTAATTAGGCTCTAAACTATAGTACCTTTTGAAAAATGTCCTTAAATGTAACAGAGGATTTTGTCATTATCATGTATGGATCATCGATTTCTTTCTCGTCAGTTAATGAGTTCTCCACCTTAAATTGCCTTAAGACTTCATTTTGAGCTTGCTAGCATACATTATAAATTATAAGGTAGAAAAATGTTAGCTTAGACGAGCAACAAATTGAGCTCCTCCTACAGATGAGCTAAACGAGCGACAAAGAAATTGGTCTCCTTTCGAATATATAAGAATCTATTTGAAAGTTCATAATGAGATGAATGGAAAGACTGATATATAATATATTGATAAAAAAAAAAAAAGATAGTAGGAAGGTCTATAGCTAGCTAATTCTTTCATCTTAGATAAATATATAAAAAACAATTAAGTTTGTGTTTAATGTTAACCTTGCCTATGTAAAATATAAAGAAAGCTAACATTGTACTTTGTTCTAAAACTAAACCAAAAGTAAAATCAAGCGTAAGTGTTTCTTCTAGTGATTTAAATCCGCAACAAGATTCTTGGCTCTCTTTTTTCCCTTCTAGTTCAAATACTATTGTAACCTTGGCCTTGGGGGAAGTAAGTGATAGTACAATATGCGCAGGCGCATAGTCCAGAAACACTAAATAATATTCCTTTTCTCTCAAAAAAATACAACGGGAAAAGTTTGTACAGTGATTAAAAAAGAAAAGAGAAGGATGGAGATTTATGCTATGAGAGGTACTTTCTCAAATATCCTTTAAACAATTAAAACGACCAACGCACACTAGGGGTGTTCATGATTCGGTTTGGGTCGGTTTTCCCTAAAAAGAAACCAAACTAAGTAAATCGGTTTTTCAAATATTGAAACCAAATCAAACCAATTAAGTCAATTTTTTATCGATTCGATTTTTATCGGTTTTCGGTTAGTTATCAATTTTCACTACCAAACGCATATTACGGCGACTAAATTTTTAACGTAACGCTATCAAACCAATTGCTCTTTGACAAATTTATCATTTGCCAAGATATATTGATGATAATTGACTCAAATAGTGATTAATAATTTAAGTTTCAATTAAAAATCGATTATTTTTAATATGAAATAAATTCTTGTACTTAGCAAAAGAAAACTATCAATAAAACTAAAAGGCATAGAATTAGATTATTATAATAGCAAAGAACTAGATTAAAAATACAAATGACTAATATGTACCATAAAATTTTAGAAACTTTATATATAAATAAATAAATAAATATATAT